TGCAAGTTCTTTACATCTGTCCAGTGACTTGGATTGTTAGCTAGAAATGCAATGTTCCTTTTCTCATAACATACAGAGCACTGGTTACACTAAAAAATAAATATAGAAATAAAAAATAAGAGTAAGACTTTGAAACTGACCTCTTGTGTTTAACCCCAGGACTGCAAAGTCAAGGAAACCTAAGGCAAGGAGAGGTTTTGCTAACACTGTCACCATATTTCAGCAGTCTGCACAGTGGTAAAACAGTTCAAACCCAATGATGGTTAGTTTTGGTGCTGCGCTGCAAAGCATGGTTACAACTCTGCTAGTCTCAAGTCAGCATGTCCCTGTGGTGCTCTGTAGAGATGTGTTAAATTTTCAACTGTTTGCCTCCAGTTCGGGAAGTCCTTGTCCATACTAAAGGTCCTCAGACTGTCCAGGAAGTTTGCTGGGCAACATGTAATGTTTTATTAAGCCATATGTTTTGTAAATGTATTTCACTTAATCATGTTACACTTCTACCTTGAAACTATCGATTGGGTAATAAAGATAATTGTTTCTTATGACACCTTGGCACTCGTTCAGCCATAGGGAGTCATCTCAGGGTATGCATCATCAGGCACTGCCCTAGTTGTGCGACACCGGCATAGTTTGGCCAAGGGATCCCTCTGACTGTCCGCAGATCCACTGGCCGGAGCGAGAACGGGCAGCCTGTCACACCCATACGTGGTTGCACATCAAGACTGATCACCTCTTCTTCCAGGTGCAAAGAGGATGAAAATTAAATCTATAAAACTCCCACTAGACACAAATGCTGCCAAGATACCCCAGGCCAGACCTCTCTTCCACGAATTCAGTGTTCAGGTGGGGCCGCAGGACTCCCCAGGTGAGACCTGGAACTTGATAACGACTTGTAAAGCCCATTCGGGGTCACTCCTGGAGTGACTGTCCCCCAAGACAGGTCCGGATGAGCAGCGCGGATACCGCCTGCGCCTGCAGCAGCCACGGCGGGGCCGCGGGCCGGGCGAGGGGCGCGCCCAGGTACTCCGGGCCGCGCCCGGGCGGGCGGAGCCGCCGCCACCGCCGAGGAGCCCGCGGAGGGGGTGCCCCGCAGCCATGGGGCACCGAGAGACGCTGCCCGCCCGCCCGTCCTGCCGCGCAGGTCAGTGCGGGTGCCGGTGCCTGTGCCGGTGCGGGCGCGGAGGGGCAGCCGGGGGAACCGCGGCCGCGGCGCTGTGCGGAGCGGTGCGGGGCAGGCGGTGCGGTGCGGGCTGTCTGCGGGGGTTGGTGCTGGGGAGCGGGGATTGCGCGGGAGGGACGCGGCGGTGGGCGGAGGTGAGGGCGCGGTGTGTGCGCGCTGCCGGGCGCCGCTCCTGCAGCCCCCCCGCTGCCCCTGCGCCCGCACCGCGGGTGGGTGCGGGATCGTGACTCCTGCACACGTAACACTTTCCTCCGCCCTCACGTCACGCAGGGAGGCTCCTGAGCTTCTCCCGTGGCTGCCTCGTGTCTAAGCGTCTTTCAAGCGCTTTTTTTTAAATACATTTTTGTGAGTGGAGGTGTGCCAGGAAAGAATTCCTTGCTGCTTCTCGGTGCACCCACTTTTGGCCCCCAGGAGCCAGGTCTTGGCGAAGGTGGCTTGGTATTTCCTGGGTGACTGAGAAAGGCATTTCGTGCTTCTGCCAGGGCTGAGCTGACTCGTGAGCTCAATAGAAATGGTCAAATTATGTGTCTAATCAAAGCAATTAGTTTTCTAGATGATTTAAGACCAGTATCTTCAGTGTTGAGTTAAAAGCCACGTTGGCTGTTGCTAATGAACTGCAGGGTACATCAGTCCTAGACTTGCAGAACTGTAGAACAACAGCAAGTTAGACTTGACATAAGAAGAGTGTGGCACTAGTCTGGCTATTCTGCCAGTTCAGATAGAGACTATTTAGGTGTTTGGGAAAAAATATATTCAGATTTAGCTGAATTGTAAAAACAGTTTAGAAGTTACAACAGCGGCTGCCTGAACTCTGGCTGGTTTCCTGTTGCTATCTCCCTGAGCTGGGAGAATTTATTTCTGAAAGAAGGGGTTCTGCTGACAGGTTCATGTTTGGAAATGGGAGGAACCTACCTTAACTAGAGACTGTGTGTCAACAAGGCAGACAGCCTCAGCGGTTTGTCACCTTCCTCAGCCTTTCCAAGTGATCCTCAGACTGTTCACAGTCAGCAATAAAGTAACTAATTCCTGGATCAGCCTCCTTTTCCCATCTCTTGGGTCGTTCTTTGATCAGCACTTTACATGCAAGTGGAACAAATTACTTGTTTTTTAAAACTGGGAAGAGCTGCTCAGCACAATAAGCAGAGATTATAACCATTCAAAATTGTTCTTCTTAGGTTTAGGTTGAACATTAGGAAGAAGTCCTTCACAGAAGGAGTGATTGCGCTTTGGAATGGGCTGCCCAGGAAGGTGGTGCAGTCACTGTCCCTGGGGGTGTTTAAGGAAAGACTGGATGCAGCACTCAGTGCCATGGTCTAGTTGACAAGATGGTGTTGGGTCATAGGTTGGACTCAGTGATGTCAGAGGCCTTTTCCAATCTTAATTCTGTGATTCTGTGAATGTTCTGCTTCTCACACCAGTTTGGTTTAGCATCATTACAGATATTGGGATATAAGGGATTTCATTCACTGG